AGATCTCAAGGGGTGGGCAGGCGTATATGGACGTAAGCGCTCCTTGAGATCTGCGGGAGAGGCCCTTCTCCGGGAACCCTCCGTGAAGGAAATTAGGAGGGTAAGTACTCGGAGGAGGGCTTTCTCTGTGGTGGCGCCCAATCTATGGAATGCGCTCCCCAGAGAGGTCTGCCTGGCACTGTCGTTATTTGTTTTTTGGCGCCAGGTGAAGACCTTTTTATTTAAACATCATTTTAATTGTTAATATTATTTGCTTATTTTATCTGGCCAGGGTGACTTATTTTATATTGTTAATTTGTTTTTTATTTTTAATGTATTATATTTTAATTTATGTTGCGAGCCGCCCCGAGGCTTCAGCGAATGGGGCGGCATAGAAATGTTTTAAATAAATAAATAAATAAATAAATAAATAAATAAACTTTCCTAGTCTCCATTGATAAAAAAAGAAGCTGGAACAAACCCACTGGCTTTATTTAATTATAGTATTTCAAACATTTCTCACCTCCCTTTGCAGCATGAGTATCCAAGGTAGCTTGCAGTACTTAAAAATATCAATAAACAGATAGCGAAGATGAAACCAAGTACAGCAACATCATCTCATCTTCCAGAGTTAAGCATAATATTGATGCGACACAGCAAGATAGTATTCATTGGGTGTCATAATGATGATAATGCAGACAGATATGCCACATTTATTGTGGTATGTTTTTTTATGACATAAGAGCAGTAAAAGATTTATCAAAATGATAATAGCATCCATCCCTTGGCAATCCACAAAAGGCATTCCAAGGTAGCTGTGAGGTCACAAAAAAGCCCTTTTGCAGTGTTGCTAAAGGCAGAGGCATGGGTACAGCTTCAGGGAGAGATCTGTGGGAATGGGAACGTCAGTATGGGGGTCAGCAGACCTTCAGAGACACTTTCCGCAAGCCATTTTGAGTGTTACAGATTAACACTTTGAACTCAAACACAAACAGAATGCAAATTTTTCAACACAGGTCATCACCTACAGGTCCTGAATATCTTAAGGACTCCATCTTATTTAAGCCACCTTGGGTTCCTTGAAGAGGGAAAAGGTGGGATATGAATATAATAATTATAAGACATAAGTAAGAAATAGACCTCCCTAGATCAGCCTTCATGTCAGTTGCATTCCTCAGATCAGGCCTCTCACTGCATTCTGTCAGTGTGGGAGTGAGAAGCCCAGTTGCTGTTGAAAGCAGGGCCTTTGTGGTGATTGCCCCGGCACTAAGAAACAGTGAAGTGGTGTGACACTGTGACCTTGTGGCTGCATTGCAGGAGGAGTTACAGCATCAACCCTCTAGGGCTCCCCAGAAGGCCATGCCCCTTCCTCTGACCCACCCCCTTCTTCCAACCATGGATTGTTTGCTGGTTCCCAGCTTTGAGCAGCTGTCTGCCCTTCCTTCTAAAAGGCACAATGTATCTGCTAGTGTCTACAGCAGGGGTCTCAAACTCGAGGCCCGCAGGCCAATTGCCAGGATGGGTGGGGCACGGGGGTGGGGCCCTGTGGCCTTCAAAGCGCCAGCAGCACCTGGACCGGCCGCGGGATGAGCGGCCCACCACCACCGCGGTGGTGGAATACTTGATGCGGCCCAGCCTCACCCAGACTCTACTTCCAGCAGCCCCCAGGTAAGCTGAGTTTGAGACCCCTGCTCTACAGGCAGTGAGAACATTAAGTTTCAATGACTTGCTTCAGACTGCACAGTAACTAACACTCAAGCATTGAGTGTGAGTTGTGAGTTGTCATTGATTAATGGGTTGTTGTTGAAATGTGGCTTAAACCAGCTGAGATAACAAACCATGGTGAATTATCCAGAACCCAAAGGAAAACCATGGATTTTGTTCATGGGTTGTTTGTGATTAATTAGCCATGGCTTGTTAGCACAGCTGGTTCAACAACAATCCAAGGACTGACAGCTTTGCATGCTCAACCCGTACTCAACCCAAGAGTGGGTTATCCTGTTATTGGAATACAGTCAATATGTTGAGCGGGGGGATGTTTTTTTTTCTTTTTTTCTTTTCCTTTTGGCATTCAGGCCTACACACTGCTGGAAACACAGTCCTGAGAGCTTCACTAAAATAAAATTCCACCCTCAGGCTAAAAGGCATTTCCCACTTCTAGATTCCAGTTACTCAGGTGGATCCACAATTGGCTACAGAACTGAACTCAAGGAGTGCTCATCAATGGGACACTCTCAGACTAGGGAGAGGGAACAAATGCAGTGCTGCAAGGTTCAGTCCTGGGCCCAGTGCTCTTCAGCATTTTTATTAATGATTTGGATGAGGAATTGCAAGGAATGATGATCAAATCTGTAAATGACACAAAACAGGGTGGGATAGCTAATACCTTGAAAGACAGGGGGAAAAGGCAAGGTAATGTTGATAGTTTGGGGTACTGGGCTGAAAAAAGTGGAATGGAATTAAATCGGGACAAATTCCAAGTTCAGCACCTAGGAAAAATTAGCCAAATGCATAGTGCAAGATGGGGAATACTTCGCTCAACAGAACAGCAAGCAAGAAGGTTCTTGGAATGGTTGCAAATCACAAGCTGAATAGGAGTCAACAATGTGGTGTGACTGCATAAAAGGACTAATCCTATTTTGGGCTGCATGAATAGAAGTATCACTTCCAATCACATGAAGTACTAGTTCCTCTTTACTCAGGGCCCCTTCTTGACCCTTTCAAACTCTACTCTTCTATGATTCTCTTCTGGGTTAGGGTGAGGGTTAGAACCTGGCTATAGGTACAGCTGGACTGGGTAGACTCTGAGAGTCAGCAGGCACTGTTTTTATTGGATTTGTGGGTAGATGTGTTAGGAGTTGTATTTATCCTGCATGCTATTGTATTTGCATTCATTTAACTTGTGTTTAAATGTTTTTTTAACTACATTTAAAAATTTGCAAAGTTACATACTTGAGAAATCCATCATTACACTTCATTGTTCGGAAGCCATGGGCTTTGCAGGGAGTGTGTGGGTGCTGACCCATTTTTAAACATCTGTTCAACTATACCAAAGGTAAGGAAAATGCAATGCTATTTGCAGTAGCAGTTCCTAATCTCTCTTAAAAGAAGCACCATATCAAGCTGACATGTCTTCTTTGCTTGATAGAAAGTCCTTTGCTTGAAAGAAAGTCATGAAGACTTGCAATTAGTTGGATGGCAATGAGAAAGGAATTCTGCACATTTTGAAACAGCCAGTTCTTTTTTTCCCCATAATGCAGAAAGTTGTCCTTCAGTTTAAACTGTGATTCATTGCATTGTGACTTGTGAGTGCAATCGTATGTATGATTGGACAGAAAAAAAGTAGTTTTTCTGTCTAAACATGCATAGGATTACTTTCTAAGGCAGCAACAACCTATCTGGAGTTAGCCCCATTTAACTCAGTGGGGCTTATTTCTGAGTAGGCCTGCCTATGGTTGAATTGTAAAACAGACTATAGAGTGATAGTGAAAGGAAGTTGCAACAGGTACTTGAGGGAGATATTTAACATGAATAAAATAATAGTTCATTGCTTCTCTCCCCGCCCCCAACCCCCAAATTGCTGCATGAGGATTTCTTTTCCAAGTTTCGGGAAGATGCATTCAAAGCAGGGTGGGTGGAATGCTGGAATGCTGAAGTCCTCTGCTGAACAACTCACGTGGAGCTTTGCATGTTAAGTTTACACGTACAAGACCCAATAAGCTGAGCATCGGTTCCTTTTCAGCTGCAGGGGAAAGGGGCGTGGGCTCCGTTTAGATTTGCATTGGAAAGTGTCGCCAGAAACCTCGAAATCGGCGAAAAGGAAGGCGGAATTCAAAGAAGAGGGGGAGAGAAAGAATGCTCTGCTCGGGCAGGGGCGTTCCGTGGGGCAAATTATTACAGCCATTTCAGCGCCAGCCCCGCTCGCGTCCCCCGTTTGCTCGATTTCAGTACCCTGGAGAGCTCTAGGAGCGCGTTGCTGCGCGCGCACCTTAAAGCCCGACGGCGGGGGCCGAAAGACGAGAGAATTACGTCGGAGGGGAAGAAGGGCTGGCTTGAACCTGCTGATCCACAAAAGCAGGCGAGCCGTCCTCTTCGAGCGGCTTCCCGGGGACGCTGGAGCTCGAGTTCGCCCGGCTCTGCAGCCAGGCAGCGGCGGCCGGAAGGGACCGGCGACCAGCTCAGCCGGGCGGCGGAGGGAGGCCGGGGCGCTTTCTCGCCAACGCTCGGCGGTCCGGCGGGTCTCCTGGTTCTCCGCTGCCTGCGGATCTGCGCCGCTCTGCCTTACTCTGCGCTGCTCTTTTCTCCCGCCCTACCCATGTGCCTTCACCACTTGCTCCAGAAGGAAGACCGGCCGTGAGTATCCTTCAAGCACCAGCACCATCCTTTGCCCGTTCTTTGCCGAGGACTTTGCAGAAGTCCAGTAACGATCCTGGTGAAGACTCCTAGGTTTTGGATGCACTTCTGTGCTGGAGCCTGGGAAGAGCGTTCCTCTGCCTTCCAGTTGCATCCTTCTAAGTGGGACAGTTAGTGGAGGGAGGGGGAGGCGAAAGGTTCCATCTGCCATGGGATGGATGCCCCTTGTGAATACAGCTACTGCCCACTAGCAGCTAGCATGAAGGAAGCGGAGCCAGAAGAATTCCTGGATTCTTTCCCCAGCCTCCGAGGGGAAAAGCTGTTCTTTGGCAACGGGACCAACGAGTCCCTGCAGGAGCTTTGGAGAAGCTTCCTCAACCTGGAGGTAGCCGATGGACTGCAAGGGGGCACTTCTGTGGTCCTGCGGATCTTCATCTCCATCATCTACTCGGTGGTATGTGCCCTTGGCCTGGTTGGCAACATGCTGGTGCTCTACCTGATGAAGAGCAAGTGGAGAAAGTCCTCCATCAACCTCTTTGTGACCTGTTTGGCGGTGACCGATTTCCAGTTTGTGCTGACGTTGCCCTTCTGGGCTGTGGAGAATGCTCTGGACTTCACCTGGCTCTTTGGCAAAGCCATGTGCAAGATCCTCTCCTACATGACTGCCATGAACATGTACGCCAGTGTCTTCTTCCTGACTGCCATGAGCGTCGCCCGCTATCAAGCAGTAGCCTCAGCCCTGAAAACCCGGCGGCAAGGAGGGCTCTTGGGGGGCTGCTCTTCGGCCAGATGGCTCTGTGTCCTTATATGGCTCTTGGCCATTCTCGCCTCTCTACCCAACGGCATCTTCTCCACCACTTCCACCATCTTCAGTGAAGAATTCTGCCTTGTCAGGATCCCTGATAGCCAAGGCAACAACACACAATTCTGGCTAGGACTGTACCATGCCCAGAAGGTGCTTCTGGGTTTTGTGTTGCCGTTGGGCGTCATCACCCTTTGTTACCTCTTGCTGGTGCGCTTCATCAGCGACCGGCACGTGGGTGCCAGCTCCCACGGCCCCAGTACGAAGCGCCGTTCCAAGGTGACCAAGTCGGTTACCATTGTGGTGCTGTCCTTCTTCCTTTGCTGGCTGCCCAACCAGGCACTGACCACCTGGGGCATCCTCATCAAGCTCAACCTGCTGCACTTCAGCCCTGGGTACTTCCTCTCCCAGGCGTACCTGTTCCCCATCACCGTGTGCCTGGCACACTCCAACAGCTGTCTCAACCCCATCTTCTACTGTCTCATGCGCAGGGAGTTCCGCAAAGCCCTCAAGAAACTGCTGTGGCGGATCGCATCTCCCTCCGTCGCCACCATGCGCCCCTTCACCGCCACCACCAAGCCTGAGCAGGAGGAGCAGGCGCTGCATGCCCTGATGCCCGTGAACCCTGTCGGGGGTCCTGCCGCCGCCACTCCTCCCAGTGCAGCAGTAACCCTGCCTGACATCCTCTCCTATCCCCCCGGGGTGGTTGTGTACAGCAGCTTGCCCACCAGCACCTCCGCAGAGCTGCACTGCTAAGCCTAAGGGGCTTCGGCGTGGAGGAGGGCTGCGAGCATTTCCTGTGCCCAGGGTCAGTAGAGGGACGGGTTGCTGTGCCGGGTTGCACCTGGATCTCCCCCACGGCGGGTTGGGGGGCAGGGAAATATCTGTGGGGCTGTGCTGCTTGGCGAAACTGTTCTGTTCCCAAGAGGAAGGGGGGGGGATGGGAGGAAGGAGGAGGAAATGTGTAGCAGGGCGTCGCATAATTCAGGAAAGAAATCCATGGTGTTTGGAAACTGCTGGTGCAACTGCATGCCGAATTCTTCGCTTCCAGTCACTCGTCACTCCCCCTGTCTCAAAAACATGGGTATTGTGGGGGTCAGAAATGATCAGAAAGGGAAAACTGAAATGCTAAGGGGGGTGGAGCAGTTCTCCTAGGAGGAAAGGGACAACAGTTTGGGGATGTTTGGCTCGGGAAGAAAAGGCAAGTTTGGGGAGGCGTAATGGGAATATGTGCACAGAGGGGAAACTGTGCAGAGGGAGATACTTTGCTCCCTGCCTCATAATATCAGGCACCAGGCTGATCCAGTGAGGCAGCCTGGGATGACAGCCAGGCTCCGTAAAAGGATTCGTTTCCTTGCACTGTGCTATGACGCCCTGTAGCTACTGTTAGTCATGATGGCTAAACGGAACCTCCAGGTCCAGGAGCAGTATGCTTCCGAGTAACAAAGTCTGGGAGACAAGCAGGGGGGTGCTCCTGTGCTGTTTCTGTTTCCACTGCAAGTTAGTCATTGGTGGCACTCTTATGTTCCTATAGGGGACCACCCCCTCCCCCCAGTACAAGAAGAATGAGGAAGGAGCTGTCTAAGAAAGTGAGTTTCTGGCCTTCTTGAGGCATGTGCCCCTAGTCTTGAGGGGAAACAGTTTCATCTCACCAGAATCGGAGCGGCTTCTGCAGCTGCTGCTCTTCTTTTTTCCTGATAAGGAAAATGGGGTGACCTCAGATGAAGTCCTTTCCTGATGTTGGGAATGGGGCCAGTTCCTGGAGGAAGAGCTCTCAGCTGGGGCAATTCCAGTGGGAGAAGAAAACATGCTCCTGGGACAAACCTGGAAGCATTGCTTTATTTAATTATGTAGCTATTTATCAATACTTGGGAATCACTTAGGGCACAATTCTGTTCCCTCCTGGCATTGCCTGGGGGTGCTATAGGATTATTCAGAGTTCCGGTCCGAATCCTCCGATCCTAAATCTGGGATTCTGAGCACAGAGCCCCTGCCCTGGACCCCTTGCAGCTGGTGTGGAAAGAACTGTGCCAGCTGCCTGTATGGGTTGAAAATCAGCCCAGGAGAAGGCTGTGCTAGGGGAGAGGGGTAGAACCTGGGGCAGGAACTGATGCAAAATCCAAACAGTGCCCCAGCCTCCTTCCCTGTCTCGCCGTGCTGCTTCATCTAAACCATCGAAAACAGCCGTCTGGATGCAACACAGAATGTGAGGAGCTGGAAGGTAGAAATCAGCACGGCCCCATCTCATGCCCTGCATTGGATGCCCACAAGCCCCATGCATTGAGGGCAGGCGACAGAATACCATGCCTGTCCCATTGCAATTAAGCGTTATATAACAGCCCTCCCCAATCTGGTGCTCTCCAGATCTTTTGAACTATAATTCCTGGCATTCTTGGCCCTGTTGGCTGGGGCTGATGGAAATTGAAATCCAAAACATCTGGAAGGCACCAGGCTGGAGATGGCTGTATACAAAGGCAAGACTACCTTCCTGATAATGCTTCTTGGGAAAGAATGAAAACAACAGCAGGGTTGGTAGCTGTCTAATTTGTAGTGGGTGGAATTTCCAGGGAGTATATGCTGGGATCCTAAAGACTATTCTGAGCCATCATGGGCTGTTCATCCAAAATCATGGACACCACCAGGAAGGCATCACCTAATGAATTCAGCTGTTGAATTCTGTGGGATGGTTGACTGTGGGATGTTTGACATGTTTTAGGATGTCTCATGTTCTGAGATCCCATATTAAAGGAAGCATGGAAAGTACCAAGGATGAAGACAGAGGGCTTTTCAACATAAGGCATTTATTGTGTACTTATGATTTCTTACTCTTAGTTGTTTATGCGCTCTTTGTTGTTTTGCTTCTATTTTTCAGCCACTTCCCTGTT